GAGGGGAAGTGGCCTTCCTGGCAGGGCCCCGGCCTGTGGCGGTGGCACTGGGAGTGGGGCTACAGGTGGGGCTGCAGCCACCCAAAAATTTGCTGGAGCCGTCCCCCTAACCCCTCCCAGTGCTGCTGCCGCCTATCCTGAGCACAGTGCAGCCTCCCAGCCCACAGTGGCAGCCTCCCCACCGCATGCAGATCCTGGGCACATGGCTCCCATGTCCTGGCTGGGGAAGAGGCTGCACCAGGGTGTTCTCGGCAGAGGCTGGGCTGGGGTGTTGCAGCCACCCAAAAATTTGCTGGAGCCGTCCCCCTAACCCCTCCCAGTGCTGCTGCCGCCTATCCTGAGCACAGTGCAGCCTCCCAGCCCACAGTGGCAGCCTCCCCACCGCATGCAGATCCTGGGCACATGGCTCCCATGTCCTGGCTGGGGAAGAGGCTGCACCAGGGTGTTCTCGGCAGAGGCTGGGCTGGGGTGTGCTGCGATGGGAGCGGGCGGTGACACTGGGAGTAGGCTACAGTGAATTTCTGGATGGCTGCTCTGAATTTGAGCTTCTCCCCTGCTCAGATTGCTACAGACTGTGGAGGTTTTATTTTTGTCTTTCTCTAGCAGGGGGCATTGCCTTTTTCCTGGAATCTTCTGAGTGTGTTTTAACAACTCTTGTAGCACTAAGCACCGTTGTTTCCCACTTTACCTGTAGCAGATTAGGGTCCCGTGTTTTGTGGTTGTGAGACAAGGTTGATTTTACAGTGTTAGTAGTAAGTTAGACAAGGATTTGTATGGGATGGTTTGGAATAGGAATGGTTCTGCCTCAGGCACGGAGTTAAACTAGATGACCTCTGGAGGTCCCTACCAGCCCTACTTTTCTGTGATTCTGTGAACTCTTATGCTGTCCCCCAATCTTCCTCTTTGTCTTTGACTTCTATATAATATCAGGAATCTAGACTTCGGATAATAAAAAGTGGTTTAGAGTACACCAACCAGATTTTTTCAAAAAAAATTCTTTAATTGTAAGCTTTTGGGCACAAACACTCTTCATTAGGCATTGGAGAAAAGATAGTAAAAGTTGTCCTGGGTAGAAATGAAAGTTTATATTTCATAGGTTTTCACAGAGGAGTCAATAGATGGAAAACTTCTCTGGGCAGTCAGTTTCAAGCTGGTATGGAGCCTCTTAACGTCCTATGAGGATCTGTGATGATGCAAATTACCTTGAAACAAAGGGAGGAGCAGGATCTTGCATTTCAGGTGGTCACAGTTGCTTTCTGCTTGGGAAAATATGAAGATTTCATTTTAAAAAGTTGGCTAAAATTTGATATTTCCATGCGTCGGGTATCCGGGTTGTAGCCGTATTGGTCTAGAGAAAAGGCAATCAGGACTCGTAGTAGAGATGATCTTTTATTAGACCAACAAGATTTTGGCAAAAAAAATATTTTTTTTTAATTTTTTTAAAGGGTGTGCCCAAAAGTTTGCAATTAAAGATTTTTTTTTTTTTTGCCAAAATCTTGTTGGTCTAAGACTCGGGTCATAGTAAGTGTTAAAACTTAGTCCTGTTTTACTTGCATACATTGTGTTTGTCAACCTACATTATAGGCTGTTCCTGGCGGGAACCATATTTTCCTATTCCTGTATAAAATAAACAGCAACAACAAAACTTGCCATGCACTGGAACTGTATAAGCAGTATAATGTTATTTTATCAAGCTTAAGTATTAATAATGTTTGGAAATGACACAGGCAGTTATTTTACTCTGCTTGGCACTTGTCTGGTTTTATTACTGTTTAATTTGGAAAGCCTACTCTTTATACAGTAAACAGATGGAGAGTGCAGTTACAAGGGGAAGAATTGAGAGAGATTAAAAAAATTAGGAATGGTTGAGATCTCTGTGTCCAGACTGCAGATAGGAAGACTAAGGGAGTATACTACTGTCTGAATATTTAAGGTGATATTACAACTGAGACTAATTACTGTGTATCATTTAAAACAGAATAATAATGTTTCAGGGCATAACAGTGTGAATCTTAATTGATCATGGGAAGAAATTGTTAAAACATCTTTAGAATATGAAAAAAACTACCAGCTGAATGAGTTGAATTAATATGACCAGATATATTCATTGTAAGAATAAACTGTTGCCAAGGTTCAGAAACTGCTATATTCTTCTGTAAAGGAGGAGAGAGAGACAGTTAGCAGGAGTGTGGCACAAATACCATTGCTTCCTTCTCTGGAAGCAAAGATGGGGAACATTTAAGGAAGAGGTTTTACTTCTCAGGGGTGTGAGGAGCTCATGACTAAATGCAGCAGATGGCACTCACTCTTTGTGAATCATGACTGAGGAGTCTTTGGAGAGGTGGTAGAGGCAGGGACAAATACATTAATTGGGGGGTGAAAAATGTATCAACATGAATGATTTCTGGCTATGTAAGGTCAGCACATGGATCGTTTTTCACCCTTGCTAATAATTTAATTATCTGGTAGTCAAGGAAGGAGAGAGCTTCTAAGCTGTCTCTCTTGTGAACTATTTCCTAAATAAATTCTGCCATGACTCATAGTAGGATTGACTGGATGCCCAGATATAAACCTCTTATCTCCCTGATCATAAACCATTACAGATAAGTGTTAATTGAGTAAAAAGTAATCTTAAAAAAAATTTGCCCAGTGTTTTGAATAGGTGAAGTGAACCTCTCTGAAACAGCAAGGCTACCTAAAAACCCATAAGCTCATTATGCAGTGTTTGCCTTTGTGTATCACAGAATAACATTCTTATTCTTCTTTTACTTTGTAGCATAAGCAGCACTATAATGGACGTAGACAGCACAATTTCCAGTGGGCGTTCAACTCCTGTTATGATGAATGGACAAGGAGTTACAGCTTCATCTGCAAAAAGTATTGCTTATAACTGTTGTTGGGACCAGTGTCATACTTGCTTCAACTCCAGCCCGGATTTGGCAGATCACATTCGCTCCATACATGTGGATGGTCAGCGAGGAGGGGTTGGTTTTAATTTTTTTTGTTTGTTTTCCTCTGCTCACTTCCCTCTCTGCTTATTTACTCCTTTGTCATTCTTTCATGAAGTTTAGCAATATATTTGCGTTTTCAGGTAACAGTTTAGTACCTGTACTTGTAGACTGATGCCTTATATGCCAGCTATTACTGTTGTATTTGGAACTGTCTTGTCACCCTGCCACATGTCAAAAGTCTCTTTTTGGAATTGATAAAATATCTGGTGTTAGGAAATGAAATGGCTCAAAGGGAATGCGCTATGGGATAAGTCATGCTAGCTAGTCTGCTCCAGACTTAAAGAATTGGATGCCTAAAGTTACTTGTAGGTGATTTTGACCTTACCCAGAAGTTCTGAGTAGTTTTCCAAATATATATGCAATTTTCAAAATAAAGCTAGTGATATTTTCCTTTTAGTTTTATTTTTTTGGCTATAGGACCCCCTGTCACACCTACACATGTAAAACATGAAGTTTGCGGCTGAATTAAGTTACTGTGGCAATTATAACATTTACGTTCCTTTTCTTCGCACTTAAAAAAACAAACAAACAAAAAACTTTTAAAAAGCTTTTTCTTACTCCTATCTGGTATCTTTTCTTCCAGGTGTTTCATGTGAATTGGCATTACATAATTTTTCCATTGAATGCTGTTTTATTTCTAATTTTAAGATACCCTTGCATTTAAGACTCACACTTTCTGATACTCAATTTAAGGAAAAAAAATAAAACATCAAATAAAGGCACATCTTTGATGCATGGAAGCGAGTTTTAAGGGCTCTAAACTCAAAATTAAGATGCAGGGCATTTTTAAAGGAAACATTTTGTCTAATTCTTGAAGGAATTTGGTCATTCTTTTTTGGAGCTATATGCTTCCTTCAGAAGGGTAGCATGGGTTTTTCCATTTTGATAATTTTTTCCTGAATTGTTGGAAGCAGTCAAAGTATATGCCCATATGGGGCCAGTCTGCTGGGTTGCTGAACTTATTAGGGTATCTTTTAATTGTATGTAGTTATAGTCACTTCTGTCAAACATTGGAGTATGCATTGTATATGACTCCAGGGCAAAGCTCTTTGGACTGTTAAAAACAGAATCTTTCAGACCTAGCTGGTATTGATTAGTTGATCTGCTCAGGTCCCTTCTGACCCCAACAAGTACCAACCTCCTGCCATGGGCAGGAATGAACGCTGGGATCAAACGACCCCGGCTAGGTGATTATCTAGCCTCCTTTTGAAGGCACCCAGGGTAGGAGCGAGCACCACTTCCCTTGGAAGTTGGTTCCAGATGCTGGGTGCCCTGACTGTGAAGACGGGGGCTTCTCTTGTGGAGGCTGAACAGGTTCAGGTCGCATAGCCTCTCCTCCCTGCTGCCCCCTGACCATGCGAGTGGCCCTCCTCTGGACCCTCTTGATGCTGGCCACATCCCTCTTGAGGTGTGGCACCCAGAACTAGATGCAGTTCTCCAACTGTGGCCTGACCAGTGTTGCATAGGTGGGGAGGATCACCTCCTTGGACCTGCTTGTGATGCATCTGTGGATGCATGACAAGGTGCAGTTAGCCTTACTGACCACGTCTTCACATTGGTGGCCCATGTTCATCTTGGAATCTATAGTGACTCCAAGATCCTTTTCTGCCTGTGTGCTGGCGAGGAGGGAGTTCCCCAGCCTGTAGGTATGCTGCTGGTTCTTTCTCTCTAGGTGCAGTACCTTGCACTTGTCAGTATTGAATCCCATCTGTAGCAGGGCACTAAGGTGCCTGCTACTGAGAGAGCCGGGAAGACTCCTCAGGTGCCAGCTGCTGATGTAACTGGAGGGAACTAATGATCCTAAGCCAGCAGAGAGCAGATTTAGACTGAACATTAGGAAGAACTCCTTCACAGTTCGAGTGGCCAAGGTCTGGAACGGGCTCCCAAGGGAGGTGGTGCTCTCCCCTACCCTGGGGGTCTTCAAGAGGAGGTTAGCTAGGCATCTAGCTGGGGTCATCTAAGCAGGGGGTCGGACTCGATGATCTGTTGAGGTCCTTTCCGACCCTAACGTCTATGAATCTATAAGCAGACCAAGGGTAGCCTCCCTATAAAATATATAAGAGCAAAGTTGTGGCGGTCAAGAATTGGAGGGTGCCAGTTGGCAACTTGACATGGTAAAGGAGTCGGCAGGGGAGAGCACGGTGACCCGGACCGCCCTCCTGTTACACCATCCTATTTTCATCCACCCACCCCTGTAACCTGTCCAGATCTAGTTGTAGCCTGTCCCTCCCTTCTAGTGTGCCCACCTCTCCCCACATCTTAGTGTTGTCCGCGAATTTGAGCAAGGTGCTTTTCACCCCCTCGTCCAAGTTGCTGATGAAGATGTTGAACAGTGCAGGTCCGGGGACCAAGCCCTGGGGGACTCCATTGCTCACATACCATACACTACAATTAAAAAAAAAAAAGATGGATTGACGCAATTTCTGTAGCTTGCCCAGTTTTCTTTTCAAAAGATTGAATTGAGAAGTTTAAAGCAAGAGTAACAGTCAGTTTGGGAAGGCTGTTTGTCAGGGTAGTTTTAACATGCACTTATACTTGGAGAAAGTGATGCAGGCACCTACTCTCGACTCATTCAAGAAGTGTTTGGATGCTTATCTTGCTGGGATCCTTTGACCCCAGCTGACTTCCTGTCCCTGGGGCATGGGGCTGGACTTGATGATATTCGAGGTCCCTTCCAGCTTTAATACCTATGAAATCCCTCCAGGTCAAAAATGACCCACTCACCACCACTCTCTGGGTGCAGCTCTCCAGCCAATTTGCCACCCATCTGACTGTGTAGGCATCAGTGTCATGGTCGCTTTGTTTTTTAATGAGAATGGGGTGAGAGAGAGTGTCAAAGACCTTCCTAAAGTCCAGAAAGACTATGTCCACTGCGACACCCATGTCCAAAGATGTTGTGACCTGATCATAAAAGGCAACCAGGTTGGTCTGACAGGACCTGCCTCTGATGAACCCATGTTGGTTGCCCCTGAGCATAATCTCCTCTGCTGTTCCCTCACAGATGTGCTCCTGGATAATTTTCTCAAAGAGCTTCCTCAGGACCAAGGTCAGACTAACGGGCCTATAGTTACCTGGGTCCTCATTCCTCCTTTTTGAAAATGGGGACCACATTGGCCTTTTTCCAATCCTCTGGCACCTGGCCAGAGCACCACAAGTGCTTGTAAAGCTGTGCCAGGGGCCCTGCAATGGCCCCTGCCAATTTCCTCAGCACCTTGGGGTGAAGAGCATCTGGACCTGCTGATTCAAACCTGTCCAGCCCCACCAGAAGTTTCCTAACTAGGTCCTCCTTGACCCTAGGCCTGACAATGCCTCTCCTGAGTCTGTCTGGAATCCCGGTGGAGGGGATGTCCCGGTCCCTGCTCAGAAAAATGAAGGCAAAGAATTTGTTAAAGAGGTCACCTTTTTCATTTGGTGCAACCACCAGATTGCCAAGCATGTCCTGCAGGGGCCCCACGTTACCTGGTGCCTTCTTTTTACTCCCTATATATTTAAAAAAGGACTTGTTATTCATAGATTCATAGGTGCTAGGGTCGGAAGGGACCTCAATAGATCATCGAGTCCGACCCCCTGCATAGGCAGGGAAGAGTGCTAG